TAGGCGTTGTGTTACAGCAGAATGGCGGCGATGGKTATAGACCCGTCGAGTTCATGTCAGTTAGGCTGCCTTAAAAAAAGGTACCAGCCTCAGCGTATGAAAAAGAACTAAGCTCTCCGGCAGGCCTTAGATCATTGGAGACATTACCTGCTTGGGAAACACTTTAAAGTCGACTCAGATCATGTAACTCTAAGGTGGTTGAAGACGCAAGCCAAGATGACGCCCAAATTGACTAGGTGGGCAGCAAAAATAGACCAATTTGAGCTCAAGCCCATGGAAGGTAAGTATAACATGGTAGTCGATGCCCTGAGTAGGAGAGCTGATTACTTTGGGCCAATAGTGCATTATATGGACATAAGGGCAGAGCACAAAATAAACGATGCATATCCTTAGGACCCGATCTATAGTGATCTGCTAAGAGAGTTAAGGAAACCCCTGACAGTGAGCCACATTATCGGACCACAAACGGGCTACTCTTTTAGAAGACAAATGTCGTTGATCAACTGTGCGTCCCCAATAGTGAAGAGATCGGTAGTTTGATCCTAGGGGAATGCCATGATACAGAAGTACATTTTGGTTGGCAAAAGACATTAGCCAACCTATCGCTGTCGTACACATGGCCTGGCGTGAAAGTTGACTATATAGAGTATGTCCACGGCTGCAAAGTTTGTCAGTGCAACAAGACAACAACAACAACACCTCTAGGTCTTCTTAAACCCTTGCCTATCCCAGCAGGACCCGGAGAGTCAGTTTCCATTGACTTTGTGGATACAAGGGTTAGTAGGCATGGGAAAAGTCAAGTTATGGTCGTAATAGATCGATTCAGTGAGTGCGCTGTTTTTTTCCCCCTGCCCACTGAGGCAAGAACTGAATTAGTTGTAGAGAAGTTCTTTGATTTCTGGGTAAGTGAGCATGGCATACCGTTGTCAATAGGGAGTGATAGAGACACGCGGTTTACCAGCCAGAACTAGCAAAATCTTATGAAAGTTTACGGTTCTATGTTACTGATGTCATCCGGTCATCATCCAAAGACAAACGGCCAGACAAAACAGATGATAAGATATTGCAACAATTACTCAAAATGTATATTAGACCAGATCAAGTGAATTGGGACGAGATGCTTCCCAAAGTAGCTAGTGCCTACAACAACAGCATACACCTAGCTACTTGTAGAACTCCTAACGCGTTGCATAAGTCCTTTAGCCCACGTAGGTCCTTTGAAGGACTGGACCGGGATCAGATTTGGAGGTTACCGCCTGGTACAAGAGAGTTCGCTCTGCAGCACGAGAAGGAAGTGCATAAGGTGATCGAAAACCCAACATCGCATAATCGAAGAAGCAAATAAGCGTCGCAGACCCTCGCAATTCAGGGTGGGCGACTTAGTATGGGTCAAGTCAAAGGAATTTGCATCATAAGTAAACATCTCGCAGAAGCTCTTGCCTGCGTATCGAGGGTCGTGGACTGTCCTAGAAGTCAAAGGTGGAGAGGACGGACCATCATATACAATAGAGATTCCACCTCACCTCCATACGTATCCGGTCTTCCATGCATCAAAGTTGTTACCTTGTGTCACCAATCGACCGTTCCCTTCGCGGAGATCGATGATTCCGCCAGATATGGATGGCACCTATGGCATAGACCGAATACTAGAAGAAGATGTATTCCGCACTGGAGGTAGAGGTCATCCCCAGAAGCAATACAAAGTTTGGTTTGCTTACCAGGAACCTGAGGCCGATAGATGGTTCACAAGGACTGAGCTTTTGAAAACCGCTCCCGACATAGTGCATGCTTACAAGAGAGCAAGAAAAGGTCCTGCCTTGGAGTAAAGAGTTCTCTAAGGACCTCGAATTTAGGACGGCAGGAGTGAAAGGTTCGCACAATATTGCAGACACCAAGACTCGATCCCCATACCTTCCCCAGCCCACTGTATAGTCGCCCGTTGACCCTGTGTGATTTGAACCCACGACCTGTCCCTAAAACCGTATAAATGTTTTGTGTGCGTAGCTTGGGTCGTGTGGACTTTACCCGAACGTTACTTGTTTAGGAGTCTTGAGGGTAGCATGTAAGTCCTCTGAAGGGTCACTAAGTCGTGGCTAGGACAGTCTTCGAAGAGTCAACTTGACCTTTTGTAGACTGAAAGGGTAGTCCGTCGATTTCTGAAAGGTCAAGAGTCCCAAGTCAAACACCAAAGGGGCAAGTAAAGGGGCAGTCCCAATCCAGTTCGTTTTTGCAGCAAGTACCAGAGTGGGACTGCACATCTTGAGGGTGTGGGGCATAGGCAGGCCCAGACCACCAAACGAAACAGTATAAATAAAGAGGCAGCGATCAGTCATTCACTCATTATCTGCTGGACTGCATGGAAGCGCTGCCCAAGTGACTTGTGCATTAAAGTTCGCCGGTGGTCAGCCAGTGCCCGAAGGTGGAAGAGGGTGAGCGGCCATAGCCGCTAGTTGGAGGGAGACGACGGCGGCCATAGCCGCCAGTGTAGCGGATAGGGTACAAGTGTGTATGCGTGCGTGGACATTCAGGGTGGACCCTAGTACGTGTCTACGTGTGTGTGAGTGAGTGGAGTGAGTCTCATGGTGGTCACAGTGTGTGCGTGGGAATTTCAGAGTGGCTCTCCGACACCATAGCTACATGATGTGACAAGCTTACTTGAGCTGAGTCCTTGGCTGATGTGTGGGCGCCCTGCGCCATGTCAGTCTGATTTCAAATACTATATAGAAATATAATTATATAAATCTATCTCTGTTTTACGTAGACTTTTCTACTCTTCTTTATAAGTTGAGGATAATAATCAAAAGAATAAATAAGGTCTCGTCACCCCGTCGAGATGACTGGACGCTATAGACACTGACGTAGGATCGTGGGAGTGGAGAGGCGCCGGAAAGAGATTACGAGAGTGGTAGGTTGGAGGGAGTCTCATAGGAATGGGGGCCTCTATGGATCATCTGGACTACTGCATGGCCGATTACTGAAGGTGACTGCCATACCTCTAGAATGCGACCACTACAACACCCTGGGCTTTTAGGGGGGCGGAATGATAATAAAATAAAAACTAACGACCTGTGTAGCATCGTGTTCGCGTTCGGTGGCAGAACCCGAACGTTCCCGACCGAACGCGAATGAGCCCCAAAACCCTCCGAACGCAAACCAAAAAACAGAAACAACAAAAAACAAAAAAACAAAAAATCTGAAAAATATGTATGTTATGTAAAATAATAATAATAATACAAACGACTTTTGGCTGGGAGGCATGTCCACATTCCTAGCCAAACTCTATATCAAAATAAAAAACCTTCAAAAAAGAATAATAATAATAATCATACAAAAACATATGTTCGACCGAACACGTTCAAGGGGCATTCGGCCAAACACCCGAACGTGTTCAAGCGTTCATGAAAGCCCCGAACACGTTCGGTGTGCTACACAGCTAATGACAATGAACTCCTGACATGGTGGAAATACGTACATTGGCTGGACCAGCCCATTTGAGATTCCTACAACTTCTTTACATGGAGCAGCATCCCCAAAGCTTATAGGCAGACCTAATAATCAAGAACTACTACCTAGCAAACAAGTACAACTGTGTCCTTACACTCCCTCTTCTCCTCCTGTGAAATTCTAATACAGCATGGCTGGGTCACAAACGCCACCCTTCAATTTGACATCACCTTTCGGCTGCCACGTGAATCGGTGGGTAATTTGCCTGCTCTTTCTTACAGATGAGTCCTTTGGCTGTGTGGCACATCATGTTCGCATAACAGAAATCAACACCTACAGCATATTTTACATGACAATCGGCACCACCAGGTATTGCCTTGTTTCTTGGTTCGCTAGACTTGAGGGTCTGACTAGCCCCATATTGCCAGCAAGCTGTTCTCTGAGATACAGTCAACTGTTAAACACCACTACCTTTCCCAGTGTTGCAAAAAATGGGAAAATAGCTGACTCCGGAATTCTAGGAGGTCCAGAGGACGCTCAGCAAAAAGAAAATGTTTGGGCCCTATGGGCCCATTTATTGAACAAAAAGAAAAAAGAAAGGAACTGTATCGAGGAGAATGATGTCGGGGAAGGCTGTGAACGAGGACTGCCTCACACCAGTTCTTCCCAGTCTGAATGTCACCACCTTTCTGGATAGTTTCAAATTTTTTTATTTTTTTTTTAGTTTTATTGTTTTTGTTTCTTTATCGTACCCTGCCAGCGAGGCAGGGCGCATTTCACGTGACTGCTGCAACTTCCTCACGTAGGGCATGCTCACACTACTACTTATGGTCATGTATCCGCCCTCTTTCCTGTGCAACGCCCTTGCCCTCACACCAGCACTTCAGAGACTGCATCGAACTGCTTTCATGTCCAAGCATCATTTCTTTTTTTCGTTCTTTTTTAAATGGACTGCCATGATTAAATCTGTTCTTGTGAGAGTACCAGAAAAGAAAATACAATGGGACCCAGGCTCGGCAATACTCGGTGCGCAGTGAAATTCAGGGTTGGCAAAATCAGGATCGGAGGTAGTGGCGGTTTAAGCTCAGCACAACACCACGAACAACAAATGCCACTTTTTTGGTCTTGCCATGTCAGCCTTCTTCAAATAGACCAAACAAAACGGACCCATCTTTAGCTTCATGTACACCCCTTCTCAAGGGCCACACCCACACCCACACCCACCCCCACCCCCACACACACGACTGTCATTGCGAACTTCACATGGGTATACTTTGCTGTGAGACACTCACAGGTCCAATGAGTCGAGGATCCTTACAGGGTCAGTCACTATGAATGACTTCAGTTACACCAGCTCTGACTCCTGTTCTGACAACTTGGTTACTTATGAGGAGCAGAAGACCAAATGACTCAGGGAAAAAGAACCGAGGAAAAAGTGAGCTACAAATTAAGCCCTGGTATATATTCGTTCTTACTGCTTGGGGAGAAACAACAATAAAAAGAGAAACTTGTTGTGGTGAATTGGTGGTGGAGTTTTGAGTGCCGAACTGCAGCAGACTCTCAAGCACGCTCAGTAAGAAGAGAAACATACATGGAGGATCAGAACAAATGGGTGTGAAACGAAACACAGCTTACATCGGTCTATCAATGCTACAGGCCAAGAAAGGGGGAGGGAGAGAGGTCCGATGAGAGGGTGAATACAGCACAGTGAGGAAGACTCTGAGGAAGGAGCGCAGCAACTGGCTAGAAGGACACCCAAACAAAGTAAAGTCTGGCACTGCTGTTAGGGGGCAGTGCTGATCTCGGTGCACTCCTGGATGCGTCCCATGGCAAGGGATGTACACCCAAAGCAGACCAGTTGGGTACCACATCAAGGATAAGAAACAGATACTCCACCCAGCAAGGACAGTCTACCCTCCAAAGAACAATATCACCAAAGCAGCATGAAAGCCAGAAACACTGGTGATGGACAGCACACAAACATGTGTGGGTAAGAGACTGTGGACGGAAAGAGAGATGACACATCACTGCCACTCCGGGTCACCAGGCGTTAAGCAGTGTCAGGCATCCAGCTCAGCTGTGGAAAGTAGACACATAAAGCAAGTACCGAGTTCAGAGCCATTGAGACAGACACAACTTAAAGAGCCTGGAGTGAGCGTGGAAAGAAAGAGAGATGACACATCACTGCCGCTCAGGCTCATCAAACTTAACAAGTGTCAGGCATCCAGCTCAGCTACGGAAAGCTGAAATAAAATTCAGTACTGACGACACAGTGATTGAGACGTACACAACTAAAGATGCAAGACCCTGACCGTTAAATTGAACGTGACTTGATTGATCACGCATCCACGTCAACTTCCCAGTACGTTATTTTCCTTGAACATAGCAGCACATAAGCCAAGTAAAACCTTCTAAATTCTGGCCATCGTCACACTTACCATGGCCCAACAGACAAACTTACACCCCTCAGCATCCACCAAGCTACGCATGAACGCAATTTATCTACAGCACAAATATACAAGAAAATGACCTTTGGAGTGTCAACCCTATCATTCAGGTTATGCCTGGTCATCAATGGAAGAGAAAAGGTAAACAAAGCACTGACATGGCCCCACATCTGCAACTAGCCCATAGCCCAAATTTTCTGGACATGTAGTGACGAGAAGTGGGGCTGAGGGCCAAAGATGCTAAGAACAACCGGAAGGAAACACAGGCCATGCAGTGCACCGAGGACGACTAGAGCCATGTACATACGGAAATAATACACCACAAATATCTCGGATCGAGCAAAGTATAACACCAGCACACCTGCAAACTTTGTCAGAGTTATGCCGCTGAACACAGACGCCCCCATGGTAACCAAGGCCTTTCTTGCTCTTTGCTCCGCAGTCCCTTGGCTTGCCATGAAGGCTTGTGCAACATGTGCACAGAATTCCACTCCAATCCCGAGGGCCATGACAAGATTTACAACAGAGACCGCATTCAGCTGAATACCCCAGAGAGCCATAACTCCCATGAGATCCACCATTATCATCACAAGGACTCCCAGTATGATGGCAGCCATGTGCAAACTGCCAATCAGCAACCATGACACAAAGAACACAGCAGCAGATGCGAGAGAAAGAGCAAACGACGCCGTGCCCATGATCGACAGGTACTGCTCAAAGAAGATGTAGAACACGGAATAAGCAAACACTGGAATGTTGATAGACTTTGACACCTGGTCTGCAAACTCCCTTCCCATCCGGACTGCGGCAATGAAGTCTGCCTGACTCCTCAGGGGCGTGTGATAGGTTCGAAACTCGGACGCCTTGATCAGCCCACTGTCAGGGAACCCTGTCAGGTCTAGGCTACGGCTGTATACTCCATGGCCAGCCTTTGCACAGTCTGCTGATGGGTTCGCCGACAAAAACCATGGCAGCTTCAAGCGGAATGCACCCGTTGTTGGGCGTCCATTCACAAGATCCTTGGGGAAGAGGCATGTTGTGCAGTTCAGGCATGACTTTATCTCACTGCAATCAAATGCATCCTTCGGACAGCAAGGTGGCTGGTCATCAGGAGGGCAGTAGGACTGATCCGGAAACTCGCGGCAGCAGCCAAACGCATTTGGCGAGATCCAGGACAAGAAATCATCAACCCATGAGTCAGAAGGCCTTGCTATGAGCGTTGATTGTGGAGTCCTTGCAGCTCTTGCCACCTGGTTCACAAGCGAGTTTGGGTTGCATCCACCGATTGAGCATATCTGGTTAATCTGCCCACTCTCCATGGTGTAGTTCAAGTCCTTAACTACAAGATACATTGGCGGACCAACTTCCAAGTGATCTGAAATGTTTGCAAAATAGCCTTGTAGATAGGAGTCCTTTGGCAGTGCAATCTGCTGTTCCAGCCCAGGTTGAAGCCTCGAGCTTAACCCCAAGCTAATGAAAAACAGCCCACCAAAGACTGCCATCACAACAGCTTTCACAGGCTCTTTACTCAAAATCGGGGCATGCACATTTGCCATGTAGCGATTCAGAAGGCTGGGTTCCGAGTGTCCAACCCCAGGATTGAAATCATCCTCTGCCTCTTCTCCATCATTCTTTTTCAGATTTCTTACAGTCATACATGGGACACAATCAACACGGAACATTTCTTCCCTCCGAAAGTCCAGTGACATCAGCGCCACAAACACCGTCATCTGCAGAATGTAATCGAGGAAGACTGCAAGTGCAGCAAACAACGAGAACACTCTGCAGGCAGGCATTGGTGTCAGAACACCAACAAGAAATGCAATTGTCTCCGCCATACTTGCAAGGGTGATTGATGGGCCTGCCTCCGCTAGAGCATTCCCGGCACGAAGATCCACTGGTAAGGACTGTCCCTGCCGCTTCATGGTGTGCACCAAGATGCACATGTTATCAACACCGACGGCAAGGACAAGAAACGGAATGACCTCGACAATGATAAGCGTAGATTTCACACCCAATGCACTACACAACCCTATAGCACTCAAAACCGACACTATGACAATAAGCACACCACTGAGCCCCAACATGGCCTTCGATGTTACAACAAGAGGCAAGGACTTAGAAACACTGCCAAGAGTCAACGAAACATAAACAAACATGACAAGATAGCTGACAACAATGGTAAGCACGTCAGCACTACTTTCCCTTTTCAGCTCTGCCTCCACTGAGCTCTCAGTTGAAAAGGCAAAGGTAAGGCCCTTCTTGTTTACCATGGCGGTCAGCTCATTCTTTGCAAGATCTACAAAAGCAGCTTCCCAAGCCAAGGCATCTGAATAACGAGAATCAGACTTGTTTGCATCGTTGTCAACAGGATAAGTGATGACAAATGCAACTGCGTCAGTGAAATTTTTGCCTCTGAACCCTCCAAGCACAACATTAGGATCCATTGGTGCCTGGAATGCACTCAAACAGTCAATAGAAGAAGTGTAATGCTGAGTACAGAACTCCAGATGTTCCACACCTCCCAGGTCGTCAAGCCTCTCCTTATTCATCTTCCAGTACTGCAGCACACTCTGTGTGGCACATTCTGACCCCATAGGCCTGAAGCAGATGTCGCGCAAAGAGACCTGCCTCCCCGACACATTCACAGTAAGTTCATCGACCTTCTTTTGCATTTCAAATAAAAGCCTGATGTTCTCATCCCTAACAATGGACGGTGCGTGTGTTTCGTTTCCTGTCGGCATCGTCGCAACCAGGAGCTGTTCGATACGGTAGAATGGACCTAGGTGATGATCAAAAAACGCCCTCTCCACAGCTGCCCGACTCCCAGGACTCACCCACAACTTCTCAGGGGCAGTCTCAACCTCAAACCTGAGCATCCCCAACATCATGAAAAAGAATATTGCCGAGGTGCACAGAATGACTCCAACAGGATGCCTAGCTATCCAGATACCTTGGTGCCTATACCACACACCAAGCCATCTCAGGATGGCCTCTCCTGCAGGTACTTGACTGCTCAAGGACTCGTTTTCCGCATCGCCAGCAGGGAAAATTTCATCCTTCACCTCAGTATTATCATCGTCATCCAACAGGTGCTCAGAGAGTCCTTCACCACCCAGCAGCACATCAGGTTCACTTTTCTTGATCCAAGCCCAACCAACAGCCACAGCAACCAGGTATACGACATACAAAACTCCAAACGCCAGGTCAAGGCAGGCCACATTCATTCCTCCGAGGGCCAAACTACAACCACCAGCTTTCCTGGGAATAGGAGGGAGGGGCGGAGCACAGTCCTGTGCCGTCGGACAGTCACCGCATGAGCATTCCAGCAAAGAATCATTGCAGGGAACCATTTCAATTCCCAATGGCTGCATGGTTGACTTCCTCGGTAAGGATTTCGGGAAATTGATTGTAAACGGTGAGCCAGGTTCATAAGGTGGGGCCTTCTTCCCCATGAATGCAAACCATTCGCGGTAGTCTGTTGCTCCTCCACCGACAAAATCCAATGCCCGGGTGTTCATGGCAGCAAACTTGACATCCGCACATGAGTCGTAGAAGCGGATGGATGACTTTTCTGCTACAAAGAGGTCAATGGCTTCAACATATGAAACATTCGTTTCCGGATCATCTTCAACTTCAGTGACGTTGATAAAAAGGCTCTGATCGGGGGAGCAAGACACTGCACAGTAGAAGTTCAAGAAATTCCGCAGGCATGCTGGGCAACCCGCCAAGAATGTGACAGCCTGTTGCACCTGTGCTTTGAGAATGTCAAATTGCTTTTCTGTGCAGCACACAGGTCCAGTCAAAAGAGGACACAGACTTTGAATTTTGTGTGACAGAGATTCACTTGGCAAAACTGCTGGGACGTTCTTTGGACAGTTCATAGACCGCCCATCACTGCCCTTACCACAAATATCATGCATTGCACAGTAGCTCTTTCTATGGATTGTCGTGTATGGGTCCTCCGGCCCACCACCACTCTGCCACTTCGATCCATCCTCTCGAGCACCAAGTGCTGACAGTGAAGTTGGAAGTTTCTCACTTCCAGCATGCACAGCTACAGCACACAAGCCTAGCACGAAAGCAAACACAAGCCGGCAGGCTTGGAACCTGCAACTTGTGCCAGAGTTTCCCATTGGATTCACCACTACCTCAGACTTCAAGCTCACCGGCAGCACTGCCATCACCTGCTCCTGCTGCCCCCATGCAAACCAAAACACACCCGGGAGTCCTATACTAATAACAGCTACACACGTGTATAGGTTGAGTCCAGCCTTGCATGACACCCAGACGCCAAAAACCGGCACCACTGCCTGCAGTCTGTAACCACATTTCTCCAAAATAAGCTTGCAGTACCGCAGAACTGCTTATCGAGCAATCACCTATCAAATGCCAATTGCAAGGCAGTTAGAGGTTGAAAACTGGCAACACTGCATGCAGTCTGTACCCACATTTCTGCAAAACAAGCTTGCAGTACCGGAGAACTGATTATCAAGCAGTCACCAAATACCATCAACTTTGAAGATCGCATCTGAGAGCAAAACCCAATCTCTTGTGCCACTGTGTCTTCCAGTCGCCTTCACCACGGATGAAGAACTTCGATTATACTCCACTTGAATGCCGAAACACTATTAGATAGAACCTAAGCTTGTGTCCATGCCCATGCAAGCGGTTGTACGACCTTCATGGCCAGAACCCCATTGCCTATGAAAAAGATTCCCCATGTTTAGTCATCGCCACCACAGTCCAAACCATGGTGCTCAGTTATTCATCTGGTCAAGCTGAAGGTCTGTCTGCACTTCAATTCCAGTACAGTCCAATTATCGGCAGGAGCCTCACCACTCATTCACCGTATGAAGGGAGCTAGCAAAAGAGGAGGGAAGACGGGAGGAGACAGAGATACACTGGCTTAACAGTCGACATGAGAACAAGTCCCTAGCTAATAACTAAAGGCTAGATTGGGTGCAAGGGACATACCAAATGTGAACGGAAAACGGATTTCAAAATTCCAAATTCAAAATAGCATTCCAGCCTGCTGATTACGATGATAACATAACACTTGGGGTTCGCTTAAACCACCACACTACCTTTAGGTCGGTGTCCCCATGGGAAAATGACCTTATCCTAAAATTTTGGAGGCCGGGCCGGACGCACGGCAGCCGTTGATAAATTTGATTGGCAGCCGTTTTTGCGTTACCGGCCTCCGAAAATTGTGGGGGCCCGTGGGACCTCGCCCGCGGCCAACATATGTGAAAGGTAGTGGTAGTTTAAGACAAATTAAAAAAACTGCAACCCGCCAATGCAACTAATGGTTCAGATTAAGCAAGAACCAGAACTAATGCACAAGAGACTTACACGCAGGCCCTCCTACTCACTCCTTCCACAACAATTTCCCTCTGTGTTTCTGGTATTGATGATGTGCGTGTATGACAGTGCTCTAGAAACATCACCACAACAACCCTTTTTCCAGCGGACTCATAAAAGGCATGACTATTAGTTTGTTGCAGATTTGTTCACAATCATTTTCCATCGTTGTTTCATTAAACCACCAGTACCCTGCCCACACAAAATTTCCCAACTTCCTGAATTCATGGAAGGCGTGGACAGGCCTGGTAAAGGCTTGGTACAGGTTCAGGCCACGTGTGGATGGTCGTTCGTTTCGAAAACGACCAACCGTGGAGGACAACAGCGAGGTAAAGAAGAAATAGAAGAAAAAAAAAGAAAAAAAAAAAGAGACGTACTGAAATAAGAAAGCGAAGAAACTGGTGTTCACCACGGCGCACACAGTGGCCTGTGAGTCACGAAACAAGCTGGGGCGTTGCTACCCTGCAGTCCAAGAGAGAAAAAAAAGCGAGAATGAATCTGCTGCGAAATCAGCGGATGTTACAAAAAGGTTAGCATGGCCCTGCTCAGGGACACGAATAAATTGAAAAATGGGTCAAATCAGAAAAGGGGAAAAAATATATATATATACAGCTGTCATTGTTTGTCTTTTTGTGCATCACGTGGTGAGTGGTTGAGCGAGGCCCATGGAGCCCTTGCTGCACTAGTCTCGACAAAATGAGAATGAATCTTGTATCAGATCATGGGTCGATTCAGGAAGAATTAGCATAGGCTTGCACGTGGTTTTTCTCCTTTTGTGCATGTGGTGAGTGGCCGAGCCAGGTCCCTCATTTTACAAACTGAGCGAATCTTCCGTTAGAACATGGGATCATGCACAGAAGATTGGCATAGCCCTGTGCAAGGATGACACGTCCCATTTGAAGGATTGCTCACACGATGACTTTTTATTTGAAGCTTTGCATGTGGTTGCGGTCAGATTCATCCAGGTCTGGCTGATACAATCAGGAATTGGTAGTGTGAATATGCCCTCAACCACAGTGCGGCTCAGGAGCTGACGAGGTTCCCCGCCTTCAGTGCACAATGGAGTCCGCACATAGGGGGAAAAATGTAACTGAATGGAGAAAAAGGATGTCAGACGGAGGGCGGGGCGGAAAAGAAAAGAGAAAGGGCAAAAAAAGAAGAAACAGCCAACATAGCAGTACCGGTCGCCAGCAATGAAGGACCGGTCACCCGCTATGTCTCGACCCTTCACCAGCTCCAATCTCCAAGTTCAAAGAGGTTTGGTAGCTTCCCAAAAAATTGGTTCGGGAAGGCTGCTTCGGGGGTACTGGTGGTTTAAGGGCTACAATAACTTATTTTTGTAAATGCATTCATCAAGTACAAGCTTGCCCAGAAATTGAGCAACAATTGCACACACACTCTTCCGTGATACATGCACTTGTGAAAAATTGCCTGCTCTCTTAGGGATGCTCATCCTTTCTGTTGGGAAGATCCCCATTCTCATGCTGGTTTTCAAATTGCTGGCGCTGGTATTTGGTCCTAAGCCCTGGCATGAATCAGTTTTGCATTTCTAAACCAGGATTTGAACCCATGCATGGAGTGGCCGTACCTGCTCTATCCTTCGTACACACCTAATCTCTTTCCTGTGCCGTCTCTTGCATGGTGACCAGGGAGGTTGAGCTATCGAGTGGGCTAATTTTGGGAAGCTTCATGTGGAAAAACACTTACTGATTACTGATTGCTGAATGAAATGTACGAGTGTGCCAATCAGTGTGAGCACAATCTAATCATGTGAATATGAAACAAATAAATCTGGCGCAATGACCCGCACATAAGCAGTCTGAGATTCTGCTGTTTTCTGAGTTCTGCTGCTTTACGAACTGATTTGCTGAGATTTCCATGAACTGTGTGAGTTTGCTGTGTGCATGCATGAGTGTAAGTCCCTGTGTGATGATTGCTATGTGGAGTACTATCCATGTGCTTGTCTGTGTTGTCTGTATTCCTGGGAGGGGTGGAGTTAGGATAAGGAAACCACAGGGGCAAGACAGAAATTGGGACGGGACTGGTAAAGGCTAGGACAGGCAGGGACCAAGCAGAGGGCAGCTAGTTCCTGGCAAGGATTTCCAGTAGCTCGGGCAGGCCCAACAAAGGTCCCGTAGGCCCGGTAGGTTACCGAAAAGGTCCTTAGTAGTCAGGCCCAATATCTAGATATCAAGTAGGCTAGATTCAGGCCCTGAGGTTGCCTTACAGGCTGCAATAATGTTGCCGCCAAAAGGCAGGAACTTCAGGTAGGCCTACCGCCTCAACGAGGCAGCGGTAGGCACGGTGCCTCAACCTAAGTGAAGCTGGGAGGCCGCAGTAGGAAGGGTGTATCATTCGGGCAGAATCAGTGAAGCGGCATCTTACGCGGCAGTAATGCTGCTGTTCCACTCAGAGGGGGAAGCTGAGCGGAGTGCCGGAGGAGAGGAGAGCTTGAGGGCGAAGTAGGCGACCTCGTTGGCTATGGATGAGGGCAGCGTTAGGGAGTAGAGCTGGCCATGGTGGTAGAGAGAGAAGCGCCACATGCCAGAGGAAGGAGAAGGGCAGTAGAAGGGAGTAGGAGGTGAGGAAGATGGAGAAGGAGATGGATCAACATAGAGAGATTGGCCTTGGCTATGGTTGACTTCATCCTTACTTCCTTGGTTCTGCGTCAAGAAGGCCCAGTGTTGGTCCTGGTTGGTCTTGGACATCTTCCGAGAGTGTGGCTATGGTAGGAAAGGATGGGACTAGCATAGTAGTGCTTGCGTTGTCCTTTTAACATCCATGACGAGCCTGGATGTTCCGCCTTAGCTATAGCTGCTACGAAGGGGAGAGAAGTAACGTTAGGGCTGAGAGGTGGTTTCTTGAGTTGCTGGCAGTAAGGGGGAACACTCGGACATGATTCCTGTTCAATCATTCTCTTTGTTGTGTTGTTTGTATCTAATTGATTAATAAGAGTAAGCAAGAACAAGAGGAATCAGGAAGAAGAAAGGGGAGAAGCCATTTGTATAACTTGCGTAATTCTTCTTCTTCTTCTTCTTCTTGGATTCTTTGCTCTCTATTCTACTCTTTATCTCTCTCCACCTCTTCTTTTGGATTTCAGCAAGTCTTGCATTTCTCGCAACCTGAGTTTTGGACTAAGGATGGAGTAGGATCATAACGCTAGTGTGTGATTCTTTTCTTTTGTTTTTCTCTGTTTTGATTGAAACAGGCCACATGCCCTTATGATCCTGGAGAATGAAATGCCAAGGTCGAGGAGACACAACTGCAGCAGTAGCTAGATGGTGAGAGAGTGAAAGCGGCAAGAGGTCGCCTACAGTAGTAGGAACATGCCAGCAGAAGGCACAGGAAAAGTCAGTGAGGAACCCAAACCGGCCAAGGCAAAGATGAGAGGCTAGAGAGGAGGTAGAGGCACCTCAGTTCATTCCACCTTACCTTATCTCGCTGATTCTGCTGAACAATGTTCCAAGCTGAGGTACAACAAGCATGAGGATATCCTACTGAATTTACAAAGAACGTTAGCTGGCCGGACTTCACACCACTGTTATGACTCAAGGCAGGGCATAGACGCATCAGTCGGATCTCACTGGTCAGAAATACCAGAGGTCCAGTATCGGTCTGGCCAGGGAGTTTCGTCAGATCATCCAGCAACCAGAAGGTCCTGATATGTTCACAGTCATGTGAGCTCGTCCCACACATATTGCCAGTCACTTGAGGGTCCATTGGAAGGAACTTCAGACCTAGCTGAAGATGGTTGTGAATGAACTGACGCTAGACTCAGCGCGGAAATCAGCCGTGGGGCCACAGGTGACCAATTGGCAGGCAATAGGTCTCCAGCAAAACTCTTCGGCTGCAATAGAAAGGGTGACAATGCCCTGGAATCAGCAGATAAAGAGAGATAGCCCAGGTGGAAGGCGGACACATCTGGGCTATCCTTGCTGAGGTACAAACAGTGAAAAATGCAGTAGGTTGCTCCACCAGTAAGGGAATGCAGCACCAAGGACAACTTGGTTAGCAAGGACTCAAGAGAGATGGATGCCATGGGCACCAGAACAGCGGCAGCACGTCACAGATGAAATAAGATTGTGGGAGAAGCTCGGTCCCACTACGGTGGAGAAGAACTGAAGCAGACCACTGCTTGAGATGCGACTTTGTGCTGGCACACGGACAGAAATGTTGAAGGCATTCCCGAATTTTCTTGGTAGAGGCAACTTCATTGCACTTAGGATTGCCTGTATTAAGGGTCTTTGTTTTACATGATCGGTATGATTCTCCTGTTAACAAAGAAAATCATATGTAAAACACAGGCCGTGTTGGCGGAGAATTCACAACAGCCTGTGGAGTAATGGAAGTCTCCAAAGTTGACTTGCGTTTAACTAATTTGAGCTTATTTATCCTTATGAAACCTAACTCTAAATTGTGTATACCATGCTGTGTTTCCTATATATGTTTACAACTCTGCGGTCGGCCTCGGCTCGCTGGAGGCCTTCGTCAGCACTCACAAGAGTCGAGCCTCTTCAGATAACATGTTCTGAACAATGCCGTAG